TCTGCGGCCCACAAACAGTTACATCTACAAGAGTCGAGTGTGGGAAATCGGCAAAGACTTCTACACCAACTGAAGAAGTGAAACCAGACGAAGAGAAACCAGCCCGGAGGCCCGGATGCAAGGGTCAACAGTCAGTCAGTTTGCTGTATTCACCTCCACCCATGCTGAAACAGTGTGAGGCAACCTATGCGGCCTGCTCCGTAAACGATTTTGACACGCTAGATGAAAGCAAAATTCCATGGAACCGGAGATATGCCATTCTTTCTACCGTCTTTTGAGATAGGCCAAACCCAGAGTGCTAGCGCCCTGCAGCGCTTCTCTCAGTGTTGTCATAAGCAGTGGAAAACTCCATGAACCGCCGACCTGCAGACTACTGGGACAAGAAGTCAGTACTCTGTGATGTCCAACATGGTTGAAGAAACGACAGGACTCCCCGCATCCAACCTTCTGGCGGACTGTGAGAACCCAGCGGCACATTGTGATCTGCATTGCTCTACACGTGTGGCGTGTTCGAATCTTCCCTAGGCCTCTGACACAATCTCACGCCGCCCTGTCCCGCGCAAGATGAGTTGTGTTATGGGCTGAGGACCGCTTAAACAGTAGGGAGTTCTACACATAGGTAAACAGGGTTTGTCCAACTTGTCCGGCATCATCGTTCGGTGCAGAACAGGGAACAGCTGTGGGTCTGCTACCGTTCCTAATTCTTAAGAATGACTTTCCACTGAGTCTCTCTGATTCTACCTTACAATGAAGACGTCAAGTTATGGAGGGACGTGAGTTCTGAACGAGAATCCATTACACCATGAGACGAACCCGAAGATCTGGAAGGGCGAATGGAAAACAAGGGACTAGCGTTTAATCCGGATAAATTGTGGGGCGCTTTCTCCCGTCCTCCCGACTCACTATCCCTCTTTCCATGATATGTATCCTTGTCACGCACTGGAAGATGTAGATCAAATTATCCACGAAACACCTGCGGTGCCTATGCAGCTCCACGTCCTGGGCATGGACAGCTAGGTTCCTTCACTGAACTCCTTTCGAAACTTTGCGAGGCACATACACAACCCCACATAGGGTTCACGACGCCGTTGCACCATCGCATCTGAGAGGAGTTTCGAACTTCCTGAGGAAATAAGAGAGCCGAGCCACAAATGACGTTGTTAGGATGCGGCAAAAACCATACAGGGACACATCGAAGGACCTTTACTGCCTTGGATATCATAGGTCATGGAGTGACATGACTACGGGCCACAAAATACTGAAGAATTCAATCACATCAATGCTCAAATTTTACCGGGCATTCACCGTGGTGAACCCCACGTAGACTCAAGGAGGATTGCCTACCGAAGGGTGAGAAGCCGTATGAGTTCTCATTTTTCTTGTCTTCTGGTCTATGGCCACAGGAATTCATTATCCAAAGAGGTAGCTGCCGCATCGTGTGTCGACAACTTCAAGGGTTTGGGCAGTTACGCAGCGACGTGTGGCCCGGACTCACCCAGTCCGGATACGAACTGGATTGAAACAACCCGCTGAATTCACATCATTTAGACACATTTACCTTCATACCTATCCTCTTGCAATCCCACTATCATCGTGAACTCTTCTAACTCTTGTGCGTCTTCAGTTACCATGTCACTACTAATATGATTTCCTTTATTTTCACAGTCCCTGTTACAGCATCCCTTACTGACTTCCCCCTTTTGACTCTAAAAGATTTTAGTCTATTAATTGAGTTTCTCCCCATCACTGCCTTTTCAGTCTTCCGTGAGCTAACCTAGGTCTTTCCTTACTTTCGCTATTATCGTTTCCTCTTCTCTCTTCTTCACAGTAATCTTTTCATTCTCCTTATCCTGTTTTTATTTACAATCTGACAAACTTTCTGATGACATGACATCTGAGGATCGCATATGTGCCGCAGTTCAAAGACAAACGATATCTTGCAAATTGAAGACTAACCCAACTCTCAGTCGATTTTACCAGAAATACGCAGGAGAGTTGTATTATGGGAATCGATCAGAAACCTGAAACCGTTTCACAGAACCTTGAAGAGAACACAAAGAATTCAGTCAGTTTGTACAGGCTCTTTGAAAAAGATATTGGATGATGTCATGGCGCGCTCCTTGAGTAGTGACGTGTTTCGCTCGTCTCTCAGCTTTTGGATTTTTCCACAATGAAAAACTCCCACTTTCAATACTCAATCTAAAAACATAGAACGTTTGCAGCACTTCTGTCCGTCCACGCACCTCACCCCTGCGCATTCGTCAGCTCACTCCTCAACAGTTGAAAATTGGCATTATTATTCCTTTGAACCAACCGGTCTACCTCCTGTCAGTGGTTCTTGGGCGTTTCAGCTGCCAAACTGCCTTAGCTCTCGGTTCTCCTCGGAGGTCATTCCCCAGGAAATATCTTCCCTGGTTATACATACGCATCTGGAGCTTACGGTTAAACTCGTTGGTCAAGAGCAGAGGATCAAGTGACAAGTGTCTGAAGGTGAGCCAACATAAATTATCTTCCCTTTTCTATTCTGTCCTTTTCCTGCATTCAGTCTTCAACCCTCTTATTGTTGTTAACTACTTGTTTTCCCAAGAAGTTTATATCATAGCGACATGTCTGCCCAAAACGCTAGGTCTGAAGCTTTGACACGGATAACGCGGTCGTGCACAACAACGGCCAGTAACACCCTAAACAACACACTAGTCTGTACTAGAAGACAAACAGAGGTAGGGCAGAACATCGAACTTCTGAAGAAGTGGCCAACCCATGTTTCTAGAATTCCAGTAGCCATCAGACAGGTGACACAGAGTAGCACTAGCCCGTCACAAACTAGTCCTATCTTGAGCAAGGATCATACCATGCCTGAACATAGAAGACGACGTAAAAGGCTTCAGAACAAGGCAGCCACAAGCAGTTCGCCACAATCCGTAGCACCTTATTCATGGAAGGAAGGCTGTATTACGACACCCGATGGCTGCAGTGTTTGCACCAAAGTTGTTTCGGTAGTCGATGAGGCATTTGCATGCAACCTGTGTCAACGATGGGTGCATTGCCACTGCGATACCAAAGTCCCCCGACAATACTATAAGCTGATGAAGAGACAACCATGCAAGTGGTTCTGGTACATCTGTCCAGAGTGCAGGAAAATGCCCGCACTCCGCACAGAAAGCCTGAAGGAGATGCTCTCCGCCACGCAAAAGCTACCAGCATCCTCGAATAAGTAGGGTTAACACCAAAGGATAACACAGAGAGACCTGGAAACAGACCTAGAGCTCCAGCTGTGGGCACGCCATCTCGCGTGGGGACCATATTAGGTCAAGTCTCCATACCCCCACCCGGCCCCAGGGGACGTCAAGCGCATGGCCAAAGACATCGACCGCCGAAGCCTCTACGAAACCCATTCCGAACACCCCACACACCGTGACTGAGAAACAACCAGTGGAATTACTCAAACCCATTGGTAAGTCGGGCGTGCCACCCACAACGAACCCAGGTCACAGGAGGACCAACTCGATCATTTTGTTCAACGTCGATGTATCGACAGACTCATTGTTGGTCGAGAGGGAACAATTTGACAGCCGAATGTGGACCGACTACTGTCAGATGCTGGGACTCCCTCCCCTCCCTGCAACTTTGTGTCGCCTTTCTCGAGGAAGCCATGCACCCCGAGATAAGCCCCCCCTTTACGTGTGTCCCTAAATACCGCCAAAGAGGCTGAAGACACACTCCTCCTCTCACGACAACCGGACGTTGTTAATGCCTGTAAAATTCGGGCCAGGCCTGACAAGCCATGGTCAGTAAGAGAGGAGGAGAGAAAGTCAGCGGTTGGAAATCCCAACAGAAACAACACTATAGTTGTACATGGGATTCCAGAATTGCCAAGTGACAGCTCGGTCAAAGATCGGTACTTTCACGACGTCCAACAATGGCAATGGCTCTCAACCAAAGTTGGTCTCAACAGTATACCGGCCAACAGCGTCAGTAGACTGCCAAGGCCAGCGCACCTGAAGACCATACCCAATCCCAGACTACTTGCCGTCCAGTTCGACTCATATGCCTCCCTCACAGACGTTCTGCACGCATGGTATAATGCGAAAGATCGCATGGGTGGCTCAATACGTATATGTGAAAGTAAGCCTAGACCCACAAGGCAAGAGGAGAGACGGCAACCACCAAGACCTCTGGAGTCAGTGGTCGTCACACAGGCGCTGACCAGTGAGTTAGATACATCAAGTAAAGAAGCCACCACTGCTACAGCCCCCACCCAAGTTAAGAACAAAACACAAAAAAACGGAACAATGCCAGTCCTATGAGGACTGGCGAGGCTAAATTCAACCACGTAAGCGCTCATCCCGCGAAAATACACATCCAGACCTCCCCTCTCATCAGGTACACTCTAATATGTATGTACAGCAACGTTAGGGGGCTAATAGGGAAGGTAGCAAAAATGAGGACGCTGCGTGAACATCAGCACTACGACATCATATTCATCACCGAATCCTGGCTCTCATCGGACATCTCCGACGAAGAGATGCGTGTTGCTGGCATGGAACTCTTCCGCAGGGACAGGGAACATAGAGCAGGAGGGGGAGTGGCTATCTACGCAAACTCCTGTTTAAAGGCAAGGATGGTTAGCGATACGGCCTTAACCCAGCTCCCAGAGTCTCTATGGTGCTACTTCACTCTCTTCTTTATTCTCTCTTCATTCCTTTACCACTACCTTACTATTCTCTTCCAGGTACCTACACAGACAGGAGTCATGGCAGTTCTCTAAACTTCCCAGCAACCCGTAGCTCCCTAATCACTCTACAAATTACAACCTACTAACCCACAAAACATCCACCTCACCGAAGCTAAAAGCAAGAAAGCAGAGGGGATTTCCTCGTCCACTGCAGGAGTAAACCGAACAACTGGAACCAAGCCCTAAGAACTAGACGCGAGAGATCAAAAACTACTAGTTTTCTACGCTCGCACTATCAATATTGGATATTGGATCAATATTGGATATTGGACAGGCGGTAAGCCTGACAGTAACCGGTGCAGGACCTGGTAGCGTTGGGTAGTCATTTGTTACGCTGATTGCTGTCAGCAAATCACGTGGAATCCCTTAACACGTATCAGTAAGCAACAGGTCAGTCTTTTCAAGTCGAAATAATTGCTTTATTGCCGGCCTAGGCGTCGTACTCCATTTTTATCCGTGAGGATAAACTAACTACTTTTATTTTTCCTCATCGTTTCTCTTTATTTCATTCTTTCTGCTTTCATCCTATTCATTTACTTTATTCCTACCATTTGTTTTGTCTTTTATCTGAATTTAGTCAAGTAGTTTGCGGTTCACCTGATCTTTCTGACTAACTTTTGCCTTTTTTTGTTCTCATCCAAATCCTCTTGTCTTTTTTCAACAGTCTAATCGATTGTATGTTAACATGACATTCAGATACAGTCACCATCACTGCCGTAAAATAAACCACATTCCCGACAGGTTAAGCCAGCCTTCCACCCACCTTTATCGGAGCTACTACGAGCGAGTTGGTCTGTCTCCCACTTAGGATTCTACCCAAGACCTAAAACCACTCTGCAAGACCTAGTAGTGAGTGTGAATAATTTAACTGGCCTACATTACATCGTCGAACTTAGATTTCGGGCTGAGATTGTTCATTATCTTTATCACTTTCTCCCTACAATAATTTGTCATCTCTTTTAGGTTGAGGTGTGCAATCAGTTCATTGAATATGTCGCTTATACTTATAAGTCTATTTATCGCTTTTTCTTAGCTGTCCAGTGCCAGTATCATAACTGGTTATGAGGATTGATATAGGTCACTTGACCAGCTATTCTAATTTCTAAAGGTGAACCGAAACGTCTTACAACCATCATTATTATTCTCTCAAACTTTTTAGGTCTTTATGTTCTTTTGGTGAAGGACTTCTATCGGTCGTACGTGCGCAGTTTCCGCGTTGATCAACTTAAGGAAATTTTTCCAGTCACAAACGGATCATAAAATAGTTACTTGCATAATAGTCCAGTATGCATCATTATGACGAAAATGCTGATGAAACGGAAATAATGCAATTTGAGTCGCAGAAGTCATCTACTTATGCTGTAGAAGATGAGAATCAACAAATAAGCTGTGCCGAATACCTCAGACAATATGATATCACTCAAGTAAGTGTACAGTTATTCACTTTCCTTTCTTTATTGCGTGAACATATTGTGTATGTAACGGATTTTCAAAACGATAAGGTTTCGCTTGATGAATTAGGAGTCTGATTCCTCTATTTACAAATGTTGGACTGTGTTGGGACTATTACTTGGCAAACAGTAGGCGTTACTGAAATTATTAAGTCACGCAATATCAACATGGGATGTCATTTTTGCGTAACAGTCCACACGTCATATCAGCACGCCAAAATGAAGAATAAAGAGGTAGACAAGAGAGTTAGCGACAAACATTTGTGATAAGAAAACCGAGAAGAATGAGACGAAATTCGGTATGACGTTCAAAATTAAGACGATGTGGGAGTACATCTGCGCCATTTTGATCGGTCCTAAGCGGTATCACATAGTCTGCAACCACCGGTTTCGGTTGTTATCCAAACCGCAACTGGGAAGTCTGCGTTCCTTTACATACCAGATCAACATTCAGAGACTATGGAATCATTTTGAAATTTTCACCATTTTTCGGGATTATTTTCTATGAAGTTTTTACCTCCATTTAAATCACTTATCACATATAGTTATAGTATTTCTTTACAATACTCTAATTAAGAAAAACCCTACTGGAATGCTCATCTTGTCCTGTTTTTTGTAGTGAGTACAAATTTAGTCTTCAGTCAAGTATGTTTATAAATTTTTCTTGGAACAGCTTTTATCAATCATCTTCGGAATTCAGTGTTTGCTCAAGCAGTTTTACAGCCTCTTCATTATCGTTTTCGATTTCGAATGTATTCTTGCTTTATAGAAAGACGTTAATGTACTGAAAGTCTGGAGCTCAAATTTTGTAAAAGACGTGTACCGAGCAGTCTTGTGGTAAACTCTGTGATTTAACATAGATAAAGGTAGAATAGAAGGGTTGGTCTCATGGTGAGAAAATGTTTTCGAAATCCAAAGGTGCCTTTATTGATAGTATTTTAGTTTTATTGTGATCTAGTTTATTACATAGCTATGTAACAGGCTATACCAAACAAACAGATTAGATCACTACGCCAATAATATTCAATGACAAAACATTGTGAATACCCCTTGCCAACCCTTACAATTCATTTTTGTAACAATAAATACAAGTATTCGATTTGTTTAACCTGCTTTGGGATTGTGCTGGAAAGTGACATGGAGCGCTACAGTACCCATCCAATTTACTGTAAACTGATTTTAACCCATATAGCATCTACTAGACCTTAAAAACTGTGCTGACGCAAGGAAAGACGATAGTTACAGTATTTCGTAATTTTTAGTTCTTTCTTAGTCATATAACTTTTTGGATTAAGAAAACAAACTGCTGAGGAGTCCCATACTAGGACGAAACAGCTGTCCAGTGCTCCCAGGTTTCCTTTGTTCCTCCAACTGATGTCAGTCTTCGATGAATAACAACTTGAAACCATAAAGTACCCATTTTGCAAGTTGACACTATATCTCACTGGTCTAACACCAAGCGATCACAAGTATGAAATGGCTATAGACGTCTAGAAAATGACAAAACCAGATATGTATTTAGCAATTAGATAGCCATGCATTTATTCCGGAAATGGTATTATCTCGATTTGGGTTACCAGGATTACTAAATTTAAAATGCTCTCACTTACCTTATGTACGTTCGTGCAGTCGGCAATGAGCCACACCTAGTGTGTGAGGGCTAATGATACTACCTGGCCCCACAAAAACCCCAGTAGGTTGGGCCAGGTTCAAACCCGTGACCCATTGGTTGGAAGTCATCTTCCTAAACCAATGAGCTAAAGACATCAAACCTAGGGCGAACACAGAGATAATATTGATATTCACAGTCGTCGATCAGTGGAAGATATTCACGTTTTCTGGAGTACCTGTTTGAACTTCAACTATATAATAAATCGAAAGTGTATGCTTGTCCCTGAGTGGGCACAAGAAACAGAATGCAAGGAAGCCATTCTACAGATTCGACTTGAAAATGAGGAAATTAAGTCTGTGTTTAGGGATGAGGTAGCCACGCGCGGAATTCGAAAATGGCAGCAGTTCTTATCCAAATGAAGCTTGGCATTATTAATATTCAGTCGGTTGTAAAAACAGCCGCCAGTTACTTGAAACTAAAGCTTCGTCGAAGTCCATGTACCTCTGCGATCTCATGTAAAGTGATTGCTAATGAAAGACACATTTTGATTGACTGTGATCACGTTGAAAAGCGAAAACAACTTAAACACAAACTAAATAAGAGTTAGTGTTACGAATGCGAGCAGTTGTGGATAACGAAAATAAAAGCGGTGTAGAAGGCATCTACCGTAGGCAATATTCAACTGAATTCAGTCTTCTTAACAATATTGTCACACCGAAGACCATATTCAGTATGACTGTTATCGAAAAGACGGGTTACTGATAGCCTCAAGACAGTCGACTTAAGCTTCAGGTGAAACACTTCGAAGAATCGAAAGTCGAAATGCACTCAGCAACCCTGTGCACATTCGTGGAGTAAACAATGAGCCAGACCTATTGTATGAAGGCTAGTCATACTGTCTGGCTGCCAAAACCTAAAGTGTTATACACTAGGCCGCAGGCACCTATCCACTAGGGTATTGGGGCACAACTTTGAAGAACATTTTAACTGCCCCACAACTACCACATCCCAGTTCCCCGAAATCATATCCCAACCGCAGTGAGATGTAAATACCAATCTTCCGACTCGTCAAAGTTGGAAAGTCTGTTTTAACCTTGGAGCGATGCTAAGGAGAAAGACGTAAGGGTTTTCCGCCAGAATTCTTTGATGGAGGTGGGAGATTATTGATCAGGATGATAGAAACAGTAGCTGATGCATAAGAACTAAGCCGGCCGATATAGTTTATGATCCTAGTTTATACGAAAGGGGAGTTTTCTGGTGACACAAAGGGGTCATTCTGACATTGTGCCAAGGATCCTATAGTTCCTGGTAATTCGACACCTGAATGAATCTGAAGAAAGTCAAGCTATAGAAAACTAAACAGGTTTTAGACTTAGGTGACTTCGTATTAATCATATCTTCAGCCTTTGACAGGTTTCAGAACACGGGTATGCTTGCTAACGCCAGACTTGTTTTATTTCCTGGTATGAATGTAGCTTATGCTGTCGTCGATCGAGAGGTACCATGTCAGCGTCTAGCTATGAAGAGGATACTTAGCAGATATTTATTGCAAGTCAGTGTTCTATACTGAAACCCAAGCAGTCTTGTAAGGGCACATAGAGAGTTGTCACGAGGTGATGACGATTGAAAGTGTCTGTCAAGGATATTCGCCGTTATCACTCGTTTAAATTTGTCGTAGATATGCTGATGGATATAACTACATACCTACAACTTTTTGGGGCTTGATCCATGCTGTTGGTAGCATCCATCTGGCTTAGAGCGTGTAGGTGATATTTTTCGAGTGGACGAAAATGCTGAAAAGTACAGGTTCTTCTGAATACATTGAGCGAAAATCTGGGTATTTTTCACACTTGTCAAATTCTACAGAACTAGTTTTCACTGACTTAGTTTGGACATGCGAAATGATTTGGTGTATTACGTTCATCACTACATTTACTTGTGAAGTTGCATCAGGAATTATGGGGTGGTTCGCGATAAACCTCAGCAGGGATACGAAGCGTATGTTTGACTTTCATCAACTCATGCTAACTTTTGACACTCACAAGACATGTGACTACTTATCAAAGAGCAAGTATGCTGCTTTGCAATCCTTTATTTCCTTTTTTATGACTCCAACTTAGTTGTTACAAGTAAATCACAGGTATCTTCGTAGCAGTGATCACGTGGGGGTAAAATCGCCGTATAAGCAATATGCTCAGTTAAGTATATAGTACTACTTGATGAAAGTAAGTCAGACAATTGAATTGTTAACCTTCATCTACTGAGATGGCTTAGGCATATTTTTCACGTGCCGAGACCACCTACCTAAATGCACGGTATTTACCGAATTAGAATTAGGTTGGTAGGAAGATAAAGATGATTAGACCGAGTTGACATCAGTCAGTCTAAATGTTGGTCTGAGCCGTGTAGAGAGGTGTTGGACTTCTCGACTGAGATAGTGAAGACTCAGTGATCACAACAACAGAGGTGTATACTCTCTGTCATCTTCGAAGTTCTAAACACTTCTACTGACCTTCATTTTTTTATCCTCTTGTGTTTTATACACTTTTTTCTGTTTTTATTTGATTTTTCAACACACCTGATGCTGCTTTAAAGTATGGCAACTTGAACTGATGAAGTTCTGTGTTAATTTCTATATTGATTTGTCTGTCTGTTCAATTTCGGACTCATTCCAAGTATATTAGTTTAGAATATCACAAATGACCACATTAAGTGTGGATGATGGTCTGGTATCCAGAAAATAAAGAGATCATGAAGTTGTAGAAATGTTGTTCCCCTAGGTTTAAGATTGATAGATGTGCATGGTTTGTATAAACAAAGGTAAAGTAAATGCTTCATAATTTTAGATGCTGTTCTCTGTCAACTAACTGGGAAAATAAACCTAGTAAAGAGCTGCAGCAGTACAAAACTACAACAACAGAGCAACGCTTTAAGTTTTCACATCTTCAAAAAACCAGAGCAACAAGACAGCGACTGAGGAAACGAAAACTGATAATTAAAATGTAAGAGATGTAGGAGGCAGATTGATGTAAAAACTGGAAAAAACCTATTTTTATTAAAGATGTATCTATGCCAATATTTCCTAGTTGTTCTTCCAACCGATTTCTGTTATTCGTATATGACAAAGCACACCGTAGAAGATATGGACTGATTACAGGGTTTTAGTCACAGATGTCTTCGTAGCATTGCTCGCATTTGGTGGAATCATCGTGTGAGCAACGTTGAATTTGGGTGAAGGGTACTAGGCAAGACAGGCAAGTCGATTAATGAGGTTGTGAACCACCGCCTACCTTGACGTGCCATGCTAGAGAAAGTTGGATTAGGTTGGGAGAAAGTTCAGTGTAGCGAGACCAAGATGGCACCAGTCGATGAAGCCCCCGATATCTGGAATGAACTGGGTAGGGAGATGTAGACTGACTGACTGACCGGGGTCCCCGAGATGTTAGGAATCAGAGATTGAAGACTTTTTGTGAGATGGCTGAAAATCCGTCACAGTGAAGAAGATGTATTCACTCTTTTACATCTTCCAAAGCTTGACTATTTGCGCTAAAGTTTATCTTCACACCTTTCTATAGTTTAATATCACTTTTCCTATCCACCTGTTCTTTGTGTACTACTGTAAAGTGTGGCAGCTTAAGCCGATGCACCTGTGTGCACTTTTTTGATTAAAAATCCCTGCATCTAACTCAAGTTTCACTACATATGAATGATTCGTGCAAAGTTATCGTGCTTATGCCCTTCTAAAATATAATTCTAATAAACTTTTCAATGTGATACCATTTTAAGAGTGATGGAACTGTAGCTCATTGGTTTAGGGAGATGACTTCCAATCAATGGGTCACGGGTTTGAACACGGCTCCACCTACCGTGGTTTGGGCAGTCAGGTAGTGTCACTAGCCTTCATACAGTATGTCTGGTTCATTGACTACTCCACGAATATGCACAAGGTTGTTGAGTGTATGGAGAGTAGTAGGCATTAAGAGTGGTGTCTCACTTTGTATTGCACTGCTGTTGGACATTCATCAGTTGCTTTGTTGGTATTTCTATAGATTGATTATTTACTTAGTTAGTTAACTTCACATGTTATTTTCCTTCATTCTTTCGTGTTCTGAAGCTTCTAAAGTTTGAATATTTGTGCTCACCTTTATCTTCAAATGATTTATTCTCCCATACCACCCAACTTTGTCTACTTTGATACCACTCTTTTCTCTCCACTTTTTAAAAAAATAGTACTATGAAGCGTAGCAAGTTGAGGTGATGCACTTGTGTGTAGGGTTCTACGTTGATTTTGTCTGTCAGTTCTGAAGCTGCCATAAATAGTATGAATTGAAGATCATTCAGTTTTCGCGCAGCTAAAAAAACGCCGTACCTGATCCATCTTCAGTATCTTAAGGTGTGAAGCAAGTAACCATAACTTGCTTCAGGTGCCACGTGCATGTTTGGGTAGTGAACAACAAGCCATCCGCTGTGTTTGGCTGTTCAAACCACTGTAAGTGGGGTAAAGTTTGAACCCACGTTTTCAAAATTGACAGCCTTAATCAGTGAGCTATAGATCAAATTGGCTTAGAAACCACTTCACCGTATTTACAAATCAGCATCCCTGTGATTTTTTGCGAATTATAAGATCGTACCACCTAGCACGTTTGAGCAATCTAACAATATTCTCGGCTTTATTTGCTGTCTAGACAATGATTTTATTTTAGGTAAGGTGAAAACATAAATATATGTTATCGATGTCTGTTTGGTAGTTGTTCAACATTATAATTTACACAAAATTGTCCGATGTTTAGATTTGTGTGATTAACACATCGAATAGGTATTATGAAATGATTTTAGATGAAATAAGTTTAAAAATAAGCCGTTTATCTTTTTCTAGCACTATATTGATTGGCCATTAGGAACTTTAAGGACTATTCACATTCCTACTTTAGAGTAGACATATGTACAAAAACTACGTGCATCGAGTGGTGTCAGTTAAGGATGCCCACTCTCCTAATTCCTGTTCGATTTTGTCATAGACGTTCTTACGGAGGTCTCCCTCACGTCATCTAACTTCACAGAGATTGATCTAGTCACAGGAGAACCCTTGGTAGATCTAGGATAACAAGATTTTTTATTCATGAATAAATAGGTTTATTTTTTAAGATCTAAAATACCCAGATAAAATAGTTTTTTCTAGGTGAAGAATCTGAGAATACGCAGTCTTCTGAACACATTGAGTCGCGATTTGAAAATGTTTGGGATGAGTTTGTAGCCACTCAAATGCAATTTATTGAACTAAGACTGGTTTCCAGAGGTGCTCTGGCTAACAATAGAGAGTGAAGTTGTTGAGTGGGTTGAACACTTCACTTACCTGAGAAGTCGAATCAGCCATGGTGGGTCAGTCAATGATTGGCGAAATCTCTGCTTGAATGCAAAAGACTCGATTAACTTTTGCCACCTTATGCCATCCATGACGCCGTTATGATATCTGACTGTCGATTTAGGGTCAAGTCTACGATACTGCAGTTTTCTGTCCCACCGTATAGCTGTAAAATATGGCCATTAAAAGTAGGGAAAATGAGAAAGCTTCATGTGTTCGACCACCGTCGCCTTCGTAGTATAGGCGTGTGTCATGATGTCAGCACATTAGAACGTAGAATTCAAGTGTAGAGTTGTAGAGAGGAGAGAAAAGTTATTTGATAACCTTATGAACATTTATCGACTGAGACGGTTAGGACATGTTTTACGCATGCGCAGTCACCGCCTGCCTCGTCGCGCAATCTTAGCTGAAGGTTAGTAAAAGGCTCTGGATGACCAGACTAAATGTCATCAGTGCATAATTTCTTTGACTGTTGGTCTTCAGTCATGCTGGGAGATGCAGACTAGCTGGTTAGGCTCCACGTGACAACGGAAAGGGGTATTTGGAGACTGACTGTATTTGATATAGCTCAGAGTCAATGTTAGTGGCACAGATGTACCTATACTTTGTCCTCGCCTTAACTGCTATACTGAATTCAGCATTTCCCCATCCCTCGTCCCTTTCTTTACTACTTTCCACTGCTTCTAACCGTTTTTTTCCTTCTCGCTTCATCTTTCATTTTATTACTTTGTTACTTGATATACTGATATGAGGTGTAGCAACTTGAACCATTGGACAGTAATCCCGGATCCTATGTTGATATTGATAATGATGGTAATGATAGTAGGAATACTAATTGTAAATAGTTCGCATTACAAAAAATATACAAAACCTAGATCTTACTTGTAAACAGTTTTATTATTTTTGTTTTCTTAATCCGAACTGCACAGTTATTCAGGTTAGGTGTCATGTGTTTTCGAATCATATTTGATTTTGTTTAGCTTGCTCAAATGATGGCGCACAGTGCTGAGGAATTCGTTCGTCATGTTTGGCTCAGAGGTTGGCAAGTAGTTCATCATCATAGCCTACCAGCATGGTTACGAGATAATGATTTTATCCTGCATTATCACCGTCCCCAATTGAACACGTTTCGAGCTTGCTTCAATTCCATTTTTAGAATACATACAGAAACGGGAAATATCTGGACTCATCTGTTGGGTAAGTTATGAACTTGTCTGCTTTCTTATAGTTTTTATATATCAAGGATAAGTTTTCGATGTTTGCTTTATTATCAGAACCACAGCCTGTGAAAATGGTACATGTTGTGACATAAACTGAAAAATGTCTGTCTTATATTATTCGTTTCCTGTCAGTGAATTGCTTCCCATGATTTAGCTATCTAATTCAGGACAATAGTTAATTTCTACTGATATCTTTATAAATATAGAAAAAAGGAGGAGAGATATAATTTGCCAAACATGATTACATCCGTGCAGTAGACAGTTAGCCAGCCATATTGCTTGAAGGTTAATATACTACCTGGAAGATGGAGGGGGATTCGAACTCACGACCCACTGGTTAATGTATGTTTGCTCATTCTTTATCTTCATAGTTGTGTTATTTGTTTTGATGAAAGCAAGAAGAACAAGATTTTTGGAATAGACTGAACTCATATTGATGTCGTAACTTCCCCTCAGCTTCAAATTAGCATGGGATAAGATGAGAAACTCTCCTTTTGAGTTAGAACAAAGTCACCATGTATGTTGGGAAATAAATATAAAACAGGTAAAACTCAGTTAACAAACGTTAACAATGCTAGTAGTGGTGACAAAGCCTGTTTATTTATAGGCAATTACGAGGAAGATTCTAGAGTCTTAACAGCCGGTGTTGAAAATAGTAAGAATGGGGAAATAACCAATAATAATCCTGTCACCACTATTATTATTATTATTATTATTATTATTATTATTATTATTGTTATTATTATTATTATTATTATAACAGCAGATTATCCACACAAAACAAACAGGCGAATAGTACATTACATAAGATATATAAGACAGGTAATAAAAACAAAACAGGGATGACAAAAGGCACAAAATAAGGGAACATAAAACTAAAGAAAAACAGTTACCAGCCATTCTGAACGTACAAGTGAGGTGCAAAGCGTTTGATTGCTATTGATTTTGCGAAACAACGTAAAACGGAGAATCGTTATCGATATATTACTTTGAAGGTTATAGATATCTCCACTCTGTCTTGAATTGACTAAATGACGTGTAATTAAACTTGTAAGCAATTGTTAACTGTTCATTTGTGGACTGTTTGTAATATACTCAGAAAAACGAACGTTTTCCTTCCTAAATACCTGCCTTGACAAATTTATGTGAATTTGTGAATGCACTCAGATCACATGCTAATACGGACGCATGTATTTCTGCCTCTTACTGGTCGCAGGAAACAGAAGGTAGTGAGGCCCATTTGTGTTCGATTGGTAGATGAAGACGTAAAGTACGCGTTTACAGAGAAGTTAGCTGAGCATTTATCTGAGCGTGATAGCAATGGTCATCCTGAGGAAATTTGGCGTGATATCAAGTCTGCTGTGGAGACAGCCATAAAGATAGTTGGCCACCTACACCCGAAGGTTAGGATTTCTGCGACGTCATCCGAACTGATTGATGCGAGAAGGCTGATTCCAGTTGGCTATGTCAAGGACGAAGAGCGAAAAAAAAGCCAATGTAAGTTGACTAAGAGTCTTCCCGTCGATCTCGAGCATTGGTGGGTGACGAAAGCGAGAAAGATGGAGAAGGCATCAACATTGGTTAACACTCGGAAACTGTCTAAACTTATTAAGGATACCTTCAAGAAGAAGACAATGGTGAGTGGAACCATCATCGAAAAGGATGAGACGCTGGCAACCTTTCAGTACAGGGGGCTAGAAAGTTGGGCAGAACACTCTGAAGCAAAGTCAAACTGGTCCTCAGCAATGCGTCAGTTGCCCAACATCCGCTCTGAACGTGAATGGGACTTAGATGTCGGTCTTCCAACTCTCCTTGAAGTTGGGGAATGCTGTATCGAACGTGAAACGATGCAAAGCAAGCAGCAGGACCCGAAGTTTTTTTAAGGATGGAGATGGGAATTTGATGAATAAAGTGATGGAGTTACTAGGTAGTATATAGGAATCAGAGGTAATGCCGTCAGACTGGTCTGCTTCACTGATCATCCCAGTGTATAAGAAGGGAGAAATGTCTCGTGACAACTATATGGGAATTAGTCTATCTAATAGTATCCAAGATCCTAGGGTCTTTACTTATCCGAAGCCTGACTAGAGGTTGAGGAAAGAAAACTCAAAAAAGCCAGTCAGGTTTTAGACAGTTTCTCAGTGCCTACGTTTTGTAGATTTTCGTTGCCAGAATGCAGTGACAGTACAGCGAAAATGCTAGTCGAATATAAGTAAATTCCTACTTCATTTTTTATTTTTACGTCGAAATTTGGTTAGTTGTCTTTGCTCGCACTTGAACATTGCTTCTTGTTTGTGCTTAAGATCAGGTGTTGAAAAAAAGATCACTTCATAACATGGATACACTTCAAGTACAGATGCTCACTTAAGTGGTCGGTATGCCGATGAATAAGGGCATTGTAGAATGCGTATATTACTTTGTTATTCTACAACATGGTTTTCTGACCGTCTTTCTTACTAAGATCCAGAGTTCCTTGCCTCCTCGAAAATGAGTGGTGCTGGAAAAAAATATTCGTAGTTAGCCTCTAAACGTTTTTTTTAGAGTTTAGAGGAATGAGTAGAAAATCACTTGAATGGATCGTATTGTACCCAATATAGCGTTAGCAAGTTTATAGAAGGTGAGTCTTAAACCAATCAGTTGCTGTACACAACAGTGGATATCTACCGACAATTTTTAATCAACTCAAAAGTTTGTAGATAAACTACTAGATTTCATTCCTTTTATGGAATAGTTATAAGCAGAAGTCTAGTTGAAATGCTCAACCAGATTCTAGTTTCTTTTTCTGGTCCACCTGTTTGAATATCAACTTAACCGACATTATGGAAATAATATATCCCGTTGGCTTCAGAAGACACCTGTTCAACTATTGTGTTCAGAGTTGAAATCACACTCCACCTACTTCCATCTGAGTAGTAATCGAATAGTATCATAAGCTCAGGCATAATAAGTATGCCTTACAGTCTAGTGCATAAATGTCTACTGGTTTGAGTTGTATTGTTATGATTATTGGTCAAGCATATTATATCTCCTTAAGTCTACATCAATCGTTTTAAGCAACTGAAGATACTGTTCATTTATATTGTCGATTTTTATATTCATTTATTTCAGGATGTGGTAGTTTCTTCATCATTGCAATCTTCAGTTTAATTCAATCTGAAGCTTTAATCCAATGGCAAGAAAAACTTGTATTCTCTGCATTCTTTTTTGGTGCAGTTGTTTGCCTTGGATTTTCCTGTTTATTTCATACTCTTTCATGTCATTCAAAAAACATTGGAAGACTGTTTAACAGGTAATTCTTATTACACAATGTAATAGAGTTAAGGTGTATTACTGCTCTGTTCTATTTTGCTGGCTGACATCAACTTGCTCATTTTCATCTTACCCATCGTGTATTGTGTCAGACAGAGTGAGTTAGTATAACGGTTAGATATGGTATTTTGCACTGAATGAAATTTGAATTAGCTAATAAAGTATTTTTTTAAAATTTATCCCCTGAGTTCTTAGTGAAACATATGGCTTCAGTAGCACGTCTCCATTTCACTCTCTTCTCTGCAGTCTTTTTAACCTGGCCCCACGACTGCCCACAAGCTTTCATTTCTTCCTCACATGATCTCCTCCATATCATACTCGGACGCCCAACTCATCGTTTCCCATTTGGGTTCCACTCGATGGTCTAACTTGACGCATGATGTCTCCAAATCGTCTTCTCAGTGTATGTCCAATCCAATCCAATCCACCTCGACTTTCTTCTTCTGCATACTTGTTAGGCATTAGGTTGTTGGTTGGTTGGTTGGTTGGTTGGTTGGTTGGTTCGTTGCCAGTCGGAGTGAGTTCCTTGTTGCTTATTCTTTGTGGCCATGTGATCTGATGTTCAGTATTGAGCTAGCGTAGGTAGCAGTTGTTGATGTATGTCTGCAGTTTGTTGGAAATGCTTTTCGTAACGTGCCAAGTCGCTCAACATCACATATTGACAAATTACTTTTCGGTCGACGCTAACGAAGGCCTTTCCAAAATTGACAAAGTCGAGGTAAAGATCCAGTTGACTGGCATTCTACGCTATGTTCTATGATGATGCGTAGGGTAGCTTTGTAATTTGACCTGGACACGATTTGTTCTTCGTGAGGCCAGCCAGCCTGTTTCGGTTGTAATTTCGAATCCAGAGGATTCTTTAGTCTCCCCAGGATGATATGGCTTAATATTTTGCTTTGGGTGGACAGCAGCATGATTGCATCCCAGTTCTTGCAAAGACTTAGGTTACCCTTCTTTGGGAGGTTAACAAGGTAGCTCTTCTTCCAGTCGGCAGGTACCTTTCTTTCCTTTCAAACCTTCTGCAATAGTGATGTGAGCATGTCCGCTGATGTCTCTGCGTCTGTTTCCAGTGCTTCTGGAGGGATCCATCTGGTCCTGCTACTTTCCCGGATTTCAGCAACTTTATGGCGTTCAGGACTTCACTTCTGCTTTTGTCGAAGGGCTTGTGTTCACTGGTAATTCCGTGGCTGCAGGTGGTATTTCTGGACGAGTTGCAGTTGGTGGTGGTGATGGTCGATTCAAGAGTTTTTGAAGTGGTCAGCCCCTTGTTTCCTTTGTTTCTCCTCTTTGGTAACTAAGTTTCCTTCACTATCTTTCATTGGTTTCATCTGTGTTGATCTCTTCCCTCCCAGATAGTAACCTGGCTGTTTGACATAATGTTGTCAGGTCTCTCTTACATATAACCTGTTCTACTTCACTTGCAAGTGTGTCGTAGAAGTGTCTTTTGTCTTTCTGCACACTCTTCCTCACTTCTTTGTGCAGTGTAGTGTTTTATAGGTTGTACTGAGTTCCTCTTTTCGTTGTTCATTCCTGAACTGCACTGGTTCATTTTCTGCTTCAAGATCATCTCCTCTATCAGCTTCCATTCGGAGATCCGTGGACATGCATTCCTTGTCTTGCTTCTTCCTTCATAACACGGTTATGCAGGTTTCTTTCCACATCTCTTTCATAGAGTTCCAGTGTTCTTCCACGCAGGTTTCTTCAGGGATGTTGCCCAATGTCTCCCATTTTTTCCTGATGGCTGACGTGAAGATGCCCTTTGTAGTTTCGTCCTTCAGCTTATGTTCAGGGTGTCGAATTTTAACTGTGGTCTATCACCAACTTCTTTGAAGGCTTTCAACTTGATTTTCAAAGTAGGTTCCTTGCACAAGATAGTAAGTGGTGTAAACCTACATCCGCTTCCCTTCTTGATCTTATGTCAAGTAGGCTGCATCTCCACTTTCTTCACATTGAGATGAAGTCGATCTGACTTTTAGTGTGTCTCGGTGTCTTGTGAAATCCATGTCACTTTGTGAATATCCCTGTGTTTGTAGACACTGCTCGCCTCCAATCACCAAATCGTTGAATGCGCAGAAGTCTGCAAACAATTCTCCATTCTCATTCATTTCACTGAGCGCTTCTCGACTCATTGTTAGTTCTCTTCCTGTGTTGTCCGCTCCGAGTTTGGCATTCATGTCACGCATTAGAATTTTGATGTCGCCAACTGAGGTCTTGTCAAGTGCTGATTGCAGTTGTCTGTAGAATTCCTCCTTCTTCTCGTGATCTGCATTATTTGTAGGTGCATAGCGTTGCATTGTATGATTGTGACTTTGCCTCCTTTTGAGTTGAACCGTGCTGTCATGATCCTGGAGGAGATTGGTTCCCACTGCACAAGGGAGAGCCTTCAGTGCTCTTGAAGGGGACATCATGATAGCCACTCCAAAACTGAGTGTGCTCATGGTTGTCGTGTGGGTGATAATATCGAAGTAGATTATTGACTCTCCAGTTGATAGCTGGGAGAGTCCACTTCCATTCCATCTGCAGATTCCTAGCACTTCTATGCCATATCTTCTCATTTCGTTAGCAATCTGGGCAGCATTGCTAGGTGCAAACGTCGTGCGGACATTTCATGTCCCTGTGTCTACTTTTGATTTCACCGAGAGAGGAGAAGACACATCAGCTAATTGGCTTTCCGAAGGCTTTCACCAACCGGCGTCATCTCGTTTCTCCGATTCCAACAAAGAATAAGTTCATTTTTCATATCGCCTCTGTGCTTTGAAGTACTTTCTAGGTATTGCATTGGTTTTAAGGGGTAGAGTTGCTAGCCCTATGCTCAACCTTTCCTCTTTATCCGGGCTTAGGACCGACTAGTAAAATAGGCTAGGTTAGCTGGTAAAGTAAGTCGATAGGATTCAGGTTTGTATTTTACACATCTAGTTATCATTTGGTTTTGTTGGTTGCAGTAGGAGTTAAGTAAAGTACTTCAAGTTTCTAAAATCTAGTATATTGCTTTAAACTTTGATGTTTCTCCCTCTTGTTCTTATATTGATCTTGGTGACTAGCAGAGGAATCTAGGATGCGCGTTTCGTCCCATTCGGGACTCTTCAGCCGGATGTACCTACACCCCAGTATGGAGTGGTGTTGAACCCAGTAACCATCGCTTCAAACGCCAAAGCATTATTACACTAAACCAACGTCGTTCTTATTCGTACCGTTTAGACAGATCAACGTAGAACGTCGCTCGGAAGTGTATCGGTCCAAGTTGTCATATTTCGCAGTAGCATGCAAAAAAAGGTGATATTAATGTACACAAATATGTATATGGAGACAGAAGAAATGAACAAAAGTTGACTTCGAAGATAAAGAAGCGTCGCACATTGAATATCAGTCCTACTAAACAAGAAGTGATTGAAACATTTAAACTTATCGCTTGCTTAAGTAGGAGTTTATGAACTTTATTGTTTCATCTATACTATCATGGAGTTAGAATTTATCTTACTGATCGGTTTAATGCTTTCTTAGATAGATCAAAAGCAATTACTCGATCACTCATTTCCTACCGTTCCACGTGTATTAGAATTCTATGTATTAATTATAGATTTTTGCCTAATAAAACGATCCCCACAACCATAAGCCAGATGTTCTCTTTCAGTAATCTTTGAGTTCAGAGAAGTACTAAGAGAAATTACTCCTATTATTCGTAATCAGTATGAGTTGTTATTTATATCTTAGTGGGACTGATAACTGTTTAGTTGAAGTTCATTGACTATAGGCTTACACACTTTTCCTATTCTCTAGTCTTTCTCCACTTTCCACTTATTTCCACCTCTTGTCATTACTCAACGACTTCCATCAAACGTCGTAGAGCAACAACAAGGGAAAAAAAACACTGAGTTTGACTTTTTACTTTCTTTTAAACACTTCGGCTTATTTTATGTTTATATCTGGGGTGTTTTTCTCCTACACCGCTTATGTTATTTTCGGGATATACAATTGTGCTTATAAAGTGACTGTTATTGATTGATGATAGTAGGCGGGAGTAATCAATGTTTACCTACAGATTTTCCTGTAGTACGCAATGTTATTTTCTGTTTGGATGATTTTGCTATCGAATATTAGCGTTATACGCAAACGTAGTGAAAAGGCCTGTACCAGTTATCTGGAGGAATCTGAGAGCTAAATATGCAAACTTCAACAGATCGTATTGCAACGCTATGCTTATCAACCTATGAAGATGAATTGGATTTGTTAATCGTTCGAAAAACCCGCCTACTTTAATATTCTATACTAAGCGTAGTGTTTTATTAAACTATACACCACAGATCGAGGTGTATCTTTGTTTTCTCCTAGGTTGACAAATGGCGTATGCATGCGTACACCAGAATGTAGTGATTCATACTGTCATATTTTATCTATAGTGAAGGAAATCAGCGGATGAAGCAGCATATTAGACCTCCAGTAAAGTATCAGCATCATCACTATCAATATAGGATCAAACCTTGCCACATAGCGGATCTAGTTACCACACCTCAAATCAGCAAATAGAGCAACAAAGCACTGAGAGGGAAGATGGTGAAATAGCAAAGAATCGGTCAAAAGCAGTGAGAGAGAAGAAGGATAATAGGAAGATATTGAATTTAGTATAACGGTTAAAATGAAGGTAATGCGCCGACATATTTGCTTTACTGAGATCTATTCTGAGCCATGTGACCTGGAGGCCTCAGTCCCTTTATTCTGTTCTCAAGCGAACCCAAAGCAAGAAGTCTACATTTACTTACACTACTCAGACACCAATAACCAAAGTCTTCAGGGACTGATGCCATGCTCCAGTCCTAACCTACTTCAGCTAACAGTGTGCTACAGGGAAGATGGATCTAGGGCATGCATAGTGCATGTCCCAGCCAATCCAGTCGATAAAAGTTCTCAACTTTATCAACTGACTTTTCTCCCTAAAACTACATACTTCACTTCCACTGTACCAACGTGGTGGTACTACGATACATAGTCTGTTCTACGAAGGCAATGGTGGTCGAACACCTGAAGCTTTCTCATGTCCTCTACTTTTAATGAGCATATTTCATAGCCATGTCGTGGAATAGAGTGAAACACGCGTAGTACATTCGACTTTTAATAGGCAGTCAAACATCACGGTGGGTTGGTGAAAGCTGAGTAAGTATTTTGTATCCGTGCCGACATGCTGACTTTCCTAAGTACGTCTGTGATGAAGTTGAATAACAATGACAAGAGTGGATATCCCTGACAAATAGTGCTCGATCTATACAACTCACCTGACAACCTACCATAAGCTGTAAGACACACACGGGTATTCAAGTAAATAGCCTTCAACAGAGTGATGCACTTACCCCAATATCCCTTTCATTTGGAGACACTGCCATTATACCTCTCGATCGATTTATGTCGAGAATGCAGCCAGTGTTGAGCGTCTATTTGTTTATCTTTGTTCGAGAGTTTGGTGGAAGGTGAATATCTAGTAGATACACCCACGACCAGTTCTGAAGCCTACTTGATTTTCTACGGTTTGCTATTTCTTGATCTCTACTCAGACGTCAAATGTTTACAGAATCTAGAATGTCACATACCATGTTCGTCAGATTGATTCCCCATGTGGTTATCACTGGGGAGGACTTCTCACCTTCCTTGAAGACTGGGACGATCTGTGATTGAGATCAGTCAGGAGGGATCGTATACACTAGCTAAAATATCAGTTAATCTGACCAATAATCCACAGCCACCGTCGTTAAATACTTCCGGTACTAGTTCATCTGGCCCTATTCCCCTTCCTCTTTCCAGGTTTCCTACAGCCTTTTTAACTTCTGTAGGTGTCAGCAGTCCTATCTTGATGTTATATTCGGGATCCGAATAGATGATGAAGAACAGAATAGTAGCAGCATTCGCAGTGGTTTTTTCTACTATAGTTTTCTGTGTCTATTTAGACGCAGACACACGCAAGTTGTTGGACTAAGGTGCACTCACTGTCCAAGCAAGTGTTGTACGATATGTAAGGTAACTTGTCAGTCAATTTTTTTAGAGTATATTGAGTGAACTACCTCATTTGTCTTCTCATTTAGATTATCCTTCGTACCCTAATCACTATATCTAAAGGATCATAGACCTCAGCAAACTAGTACAGATTCATTTATTGGGTTATTCAGACATATGTGTGACTTACTAGTTGGTTTTCCTTATCAGGTACATAAAATTTGTTATTTATGAATCTCTGCTACATGTTGCACAAATCCGTGATACGATGTAGAGCTGTAACTTTTTGATTTAGGCGGCTGACTTTTAATCATTAGGCCCCAGTTTCGAAGCCCACTCCGCCTACCGATGTTTGGGCTGTTGGATAGTATAACTAGCTGTCACACAATAGATGTGACTCCTTGCTTACTATATATGGACAGGAGTAAGAAAATATGGACTAGTGAATTTCAAGTTAGTGACCGAATGGTAATGAGATGGCTGTGAAAATTGACAGGTTGTTCAACCCGGTCCTCCACGGGGTCGTAGGTGAGCGCTACTGTGGAGTCACACACTGAGATGAAACAGCTGTCACGGTGCTCCCAGGTGTTCAAAATTTCTCCAACTTACATCAATCCTTGATGAATACAACTCTGAATTTGATCAATCCACACAAAACAGTAGAACAAAATCAAATCTGTACTTATATTTCGTCTGTATATAGATGTGCTTGTGGGAAATGTTTGTTTTGTCAATGTCTGCTTGATGGCTATCAGTAGGATCCGGGACGCGCATTTCGTTTTGCTTGGGACTCTTTGGCTGAATATACATGCACCTCAGTGAGTTATGTTGCTCCCACTGAGACGTGAACTCAGTATCCAATGCTTTAAAGGCTAAAGCGTTATACGCTGGGGCATGACAGCCACCTTTTGTGCAACGAATATCAGTTATTGTTAGATACTTGTAATCTGTTGTTGCTATACTAGGTCGAATCGCTCAACCTCTGTTTATTTTGTCACTCTGTTTTGTCACATGTCTAGCTAATGTTAATTTCTTTCTTCCTATATTTGTAGGTTGGACTACGCTGGTATAGCGTTCTTGAATATAGGCTCATTTATACCATACCTGTATTATTCATTCTACTGCATGTTATGGGCTAAAATGTTTTACATAATCTTAATTGTTGTTCTTGGGACAGCATCAATTATTGTTTCAATGCATCCATCTTTCACTACACCTCGTTATCGTCCACTTCGAGCTGGTGTTTTCATGGGATTAGGTCTTTCAGGGGTTATTCCATGTATGCATACAGTAATACTGGATGGATTCCATAATTCCATTTTTCAAGGTTCTTTGGGTTGGCTTGTTCTAATGGCGATTTTGTATTTAAGTGGAGCCACAATTTATGCTGTACGTGTACCTGAAAGAATATTTCCTGGACGTTTTGATATTTGGGTCAGTTATGGTTTTTGCTTTCACTCTTAAATAGAGTTTTTATTGCACATGTGGCATATTTCCCTCACCAATAGACTTTGCGAATTTCAGGGCTGATGAGAATCCAATTGCTCCGAAGTTCCCCATTTAGCAATCCAGCAATCGAAGATTGCCTTAGCGACAGTATTGGTACTGATCCTGTCTATCAACATGGCTTCGCACCATTTAGTGAAGTAATCCACCATGCCAAGGATACATTTATCTGCTTTCATTGTCTCGCATTGCGGCCCGACAATGTCCACACCTATTACCTTATTCGGAAAGCCATCCTTCACGCTAACCAAGGGTGCTGATGGTCTTCTTAGAGAGTTCTTAATACGACTACATGTTGTGCAGCTCTGGACAAAATTTCGAACATCCGTCTACTGATGTGGTCACCAGTAGCAGCATGCAATCACTTGTATAATTTTGTTGATACCTTTATGCCGCAAATCAATGTAGACTTTCTCCAGAGTTGCACTCACTAATGATTGTGGTACTACAACTTGTCCGACGTAACTCGGGCCTGGCTGTACGCACAAACAGTTTTAGCACACTGTCTAGAGTCTCCAATCAGCGGTTTCTCTTGCCACGCTGATCACAACGGGTAAGTTTGCACTTCCACACACTATTCAGACGCCAACAGTCAAAAATTTTAGGGACTGATGTCTTGTTTTATTCTGGCTGCTTCTAACCATCCTCCAGTATGGACCGACTTCAGCTATCATTGTGCGGTGTGGTATACGGTGGCTAGGCGTGCGTGACACATGTCTCAGCCGCCTCAGCCGATAAAGGTTCACAATGTCATCAACTGACTTTCCTCTCCTTCCTAGAACTCTACACCTCAATTCTAGGTTACTGACGTAGTGATACCATGACATGGTATATGCTACGAACATCTAAAGCCTTGTGATGTCCTCTACCTTTAATGAGCATGTTTCATAGTCGAACAGAGTTAACTGCAGCTCAGTACACTCGACTTTTAATAGGTCATCAGATATCACGACAGCGCTATAAATGACACTAAGTTGGTGAAAGCTATGCAAGTTCTTTGTATCCTTGCAGAAATATCTTCGATCACTGACTGACCCATCATTTCTGATCCTACTTCCCAAGTAGTTGAATCGGGCTGTGGGCTCAACCGACCCAGTCTCTGTTGTTCAACGAGGTACCAATGAAGAACACTCTGGAAAAAACAATTTCCATTTCAGTGGCTAGATACAGAATGTTATTCAGTATACAATAAGTTGGTGTGTATAATTCAATTTTTTGAAGGAAATCACTTTTAATGGATTTAATATACTTAGTTTTCATGATAACTGCAAACATTTTTTCCTATAAATGTATGTTAATCGGCACAAAGTCTTAATTCGCGTTTTTGTATCAACCTATAGAGTGTACCGATTGCATTGAATATCGATGATTACTATAGAGACTAGAATCAATAAGAATACATGTGAAAAATCTGAACCAGTGGTTGAAAATCGATTATTTAAATCACAAAGTATGCCTCATACAATTTGATTTCAAATCTTTAGTGGATTTGCAACTCCTTTCTTTAGGGAGGCAGTTGACTTCCAATCAATAGGTCATGGGTTCGAACCCCATTACGCCTGTCGAGGTTTTGAGGAGCCAGGTAGTGTTATGATTATTATTATTTGTCCCTTAGGTTTCCAGTGGAACTTATGGCCTCAGTAGCACGTCGCCATTTCACTCTCTTCTCTGCAGTCTTTTTAACCTGGCCCCACGACTGCCCACAAGCTTTCATTTCTTCCTCACATGATCTCCTCCATATCATACTCGGACGCCCAACTCATCGTTTCCCATTTGGGTTCCACTCGATGGTCTAACTTGACGCATGATGTCTCCAAATCGTCTTCTCAGTGTATGTCCAATCCAATCCACCTCCACCTTCTTCTTCTGCATACTTGTTAGGCATTAGGTTGTTGGTTAGTTGGTTGGTTGGTTCGTTGCCAGTTGGAGTGAGTTCCTTGTTGCTTATTCTTTGTGGCCATGTGATCTGATGTTCAGTATTGAGCTAGCGTAGGTAGCAGTTGTTGATGTATGTCTGCAGTTTGTTGGAAATGCTTTTCGTAACGTGCCAAGTCGCTCAACATCACATAGGAGAACTCACTGACTTGAGTGACTTAGTGTTGAAAATCCGGATGTTGTTCATGCTTTATTCTGAATGCAGTGCAGTGCAGTAGATCTCCACATTGATTTTGGATTATTGAAGGAAGGGTTGTCTTGCTGTGTTTGGAATGCTGGTTTTGACATCTTCATTTGTGCTGCCGCGTGTAGTTGAACGATACTATTTATGTAGCTAGGTAGGTGAAAGAGACAAGTTGCTTTATATTTCTCCTGTTGCTGGCGATTAGTGCATGTTTTTGTTGTTGGGTATCCTCATCACCTGTGTCTTCTCTACAATCACCTGAAGGAAGTCTCATCTTTGCTGCCTCACCTCTTCTGTCAGCTTGTTAGTTTTCGCCTATAGATCTTCAAGTTTGTGAGACATTAGACGTAAATTATCATTGGTGAAATGCATATCTTCTAGGGTTTTTTCATCAATATCATTAGTTTTTTTATATTATAGAGATATGGCTCACTGCATACTGCATGAGTGTGCCGAAATTTGTCGTGAGTACATTTCTATGCAATTGAATATCTTTAATTGTCTGTTTCCATTTCAACTAATGTTAATATAAGTTTGTTTTTTTCTTTCTTTCTGTTTACAGTTTCAAAGTCATCAAATATTTCATGTATTCGTTGTAGCTGCCGCCTTAGTTCATTATCATGGTTTAGTTAAACTAGCTAATTATCGTTTAACTGTTGGTGATTGTAAACCGATTGGTTTAAAATTTTATCCAGATGAATTAAAACTTCTCGGTTTAAATATATTTTCAAAAACAGTATTATAATCAATTAGTTATCATTATTATTTTAGTTAACTTTTCTCTTTAATGCTAATTTTGCATTTATGCCCTATATTAATATGTATGATGAATCTTCTTTCATTGATCTATGTGTTTTGGAACAGTCCTTATTTTAGTGATTTAGGCTAAATTGTTGGTTTATTATCATTATTTAACTTCTTTTTCTTTTTATGGAAGACAATCATTCTTAGCCCAGTATTCTCTTTGTAAATTCCCTCTTAGCTTAGTTGATAAAGCACACTGTGGTCGCTGGTTCGAATCCAGCCGCGATCGAAATTTTCATTTCACCTTCAATTATTACACAGTTTGAAATTCTATTTTAGAACATTCCTCATTTTTTATCTACTGTGTAAATAGTTTTAGTCAGTCAATGTGACCATAACTACAAAATTAATTCGGAGGTAGTATTCATCCACGGACTGACATCAATTGGGGAACCATTGAAAACCTGGCAGCATTCGACAGCTGTCTCATCCTAGTGTGGGACTCCTCAGCAGTACACACTCCTGACATGGCTAGGGATTGAACTGAGGACTTTCAGGCTTCACGGCGAACACGTTAACCATTGCTTCACGGTTTCCATTTCCTGTCAATTCACGATATAACGTGACTGTCACCCAAGGTCTTTAGTTGGCATCCGCTTCCCTTCCCCACAGGTCACAACTCATTACAACTTCATGATATCCAACTAGAAGCATGCCACTGATGAGCACTATGCAGTATTTATAAAATGAATAAAGATTTTAATTTCGAGGTAGTATTCATGAAACCTGAAGGTCCTGATTTCGATGCCTAGCGGGGTCGTGGGTGTGAACTGCTGAGGAGTCCCTTACTAGGACGAAACAGCCGTCTAGTGCTCCCTGATTTTCAATCCTTCCCCAACTGATATCAGTCCATGATGAATACTACCTCTAAATCAAAATCTCCATTTATCTCAAAAATACAAAATTAATTGTCAAAGACCAAAATGAAGACTCGATGGGTGGAGGAACATAAAATTTCTTCATTAGTATTATCACTTACTGACTAACTAACTCACTTTTGTTCATTGTTAGACTCAAAGATGTTATTGTGAGTGGAATTCAGTATACTCAGCGGTGATCTAGTCGATATTCAAAAGTCGAATCTTACAAACCGTGAACAACTTTTATTCCAATCGCAAAAATCTGTTCATAACTATTCAACATAATTTTTATTCATTGTGTTATTTTTTAAATTACAATGCAACAAGTTGTATTCATCATAAAAACAGTACGCCAACTTTTACGCTACTTTCAATACACCAGTTTCGTTTATTTTTATTATTTTAAAAGATAGACCGATAGATATGAAACCCATGCAAGACCTCTCAGACAGGTCCATCGGTTCAGGTTGCTACATATCACACTAGTATACAAGGAACAAGTGAATAGAAAAAACTCATATAAAAGTAGATAAAGTTGTGTGGGAGAATAAATAATTTGAAGACAAAAGTTAGCGCGAATATTCAAACTCTAGAAGACGTCAAAGAGTGAATATATCTGCACTACTGTGACCGTTTTTAGCTATGTCAACAAGGGTCCTCAACTACTGATTCCTTTCTTCCATGGGACTCCAACCAGGTAGTCTACTTCCCCCCTCCCTCCATGCACACAACTTGAACCACTAGAGACTTCGTGAACTGATGTCACATCTTGGTCTAGCTACCGTGAACCGTTTTCCAATCTAATCCAACTTCCTCTAGTATGGCACGTCGAGGTAGGTGGTGACTCGACACACACAGTACATATCCAAGCCAGCCACCTCAGTCGATTGAGGTTCAAAAAATCACTCACGAACTTTCGCGTCTCGCTTAGTACCCTTCGCTTAACCACAACATTGCTTCCATGGTGATTCCACCAATTGTTAGCTGTGCTACACCTATGATCGCAAACCTGTAACTAGTTCATATTTTCTACTTTTAACGGTCATGTCTCACAACAGTGTAAGAGGACAGAACCGATTGCAGGACAGCATACTCATCTTTTGATAGATAGAGTTGACGTAAGTTGATAAATACCAAACAGGTCTTCTATATCCCAGCTGAGACTTTATCAGTAACCAGCCCCTTTCCTGGTTCAACTCCCCAAGTAAGTGAAATCCATTTTATAAAATATAATGCATTACAATGTGCAATTCTTATTTGAGAATATCAATAATTAAGGTTAGTCAAATTATATTTGATGCTGAATACGTCCACTAAATTGCATCAGTTAGCTGTATGTTTTTTTTGTACAAGAATCTCATTGCTATTATTTGAAATATACTTTTCTGATTCCATCTTAGTTTATTTATTCAATGTATCATACAGTGGAGCAATATTATTTACTAAATAACGTTTTAGACACTATTTATATGGTGTAAATTGATGTCAAGACTTTGAGACATAGTTTACATGACTCTTATTCCTTTTGCCCTCTTCATGATGGCGGTGGTGAAATTCACCATATATCTGGAACTGTTGCTGAGTCATTCCTGTTGTTGGTGTTGATTCAATAAACAAAGATCCAGTTATCAACTTCTCTGTCCATACAACTAAGTTTTTTTTAACGGTATCATTCTATCTCATCCTATTGTATACAGTCGTCTAGGTGGCTATTGTTGAGCTATTCTATAGGTTCCTCATCTTATTAGAACTTACCAATCTTGATGTATTTTAGGATTTGTGCTTATACAGCCCAACTGATCCTGGTCGAGTACTTTGACCTAATGTATTTGACCTCTTAATCATTGCAAAGGGATAGATGAACCAAATTTTTTTTTATCTAATTGGAATTATAATATCTTTTATTTTACAAAGCTTGAGTCGAAATAAGTTTATGATCCCAGTTTTGGTTAAAATTCTCCGTCAGGTTTTAGAGAATCACTTCTTGCATAATGGCATTATAGAATTTATCATTGTGATGTGAAAATTCAAAACTGTTATGGAGTTTAAATGGTCACATCGATGTTAATTTCCTCAGTTGCATTTGGTGAATTTAAAACCTATTTGAATAAACTGAGGCGAAATAAACGCTGTTACTCTTCAGTGTGAACCAATCCTTCAATGTAGTTAACTTCCTTTAAGTTGATCATATCTCCCAACACTACCTAGTTACCACTGACCGACGTAACAAAGCGGAGGTCCATAAGGAACTACAAGTTTTGAAATACTAAAAGGCACCTGGTCCAGACAAATTACCCCCGGTGCTTTTTAAAGATGGAGGAACGACTGTAGTCAGGGGGCTGACTAGGTTGTTTGAGACAGGCTATCTTCATGCTCATCTTTAAAAAGGGTCTACGTAATGTATGTGACAATTTTCGAGGTATTAGTCTGTTACCAGTCGCTTGGAAAATATTGGCTACTATCATACTTCGCAGACTTTGTAAAACACGTGAGGAAAGTAATTTGCGAGGACCAGGTCGTGGGTGTATTGACCATGTATTTACCTTCCGCCAGATGCTTGAAAATCGCCACACGTATTGCAGGCCAACAATCGTTGTTTTTCTTAACATTAGGGGTGCTTTCGATTCATTGAACAGACCTGTACTCTGGAATTGTCTGTTGGAGAGGGACATCTCTGAGGAATTTTTAAACATCTTGAAATCCTTATGTATAACACTTCAGGTAGAGTGACGGCATACAACCGCTTGTCTCCATTGTTAAAAATCAGCGGTGGGGTTAGGCAGGGTTACCAGATTTCTCCATTCGTCTTTAACTTTGCTACTGATGACATTCTTGAGATAGCTATGATGGTGATACAGGTCTACTACCCGGAGAACTGCTATTCGACCTTGAATATATGGACAATGCACACCGGCTATTGAAATCGCACTTAATCGGTTGGGGGATTAGTGTCCGTAAGTATGGCGCTTTACGCCATTGAAGTGCAAAGTGCTTTTGGAAGACTAACAGGAGCCTGTGTTTCAGCTCATCCTCTGTGGTGAGCTTTTAGAAATAATTGAAAATTTGTTCGTGTATTATCTGGGTAGTTGTGTGAGGGATGCAATTTCTAACTGCATGTCGAAAGCCAAAACGGCATACGCCAATCTGGGGCCATCTTTGGCACCGTCGTGACGTTATTCTGACCGTGAGAGTTAGGTTTTATAACGTTCCGGTGCGAGGATTTCTGTTCTGTTCTCTGAAACCTGGCCTCTGCAAGCTGAGGATGGGTTCGGTCGCCGCTGACTCCGTAGAATTGCTCGTATCCAGTGGCAGCAATATGTAAATGATTCTGAGGTACAACAGCGTGTGTTTGGGCATGATGAAGATTATCATTCAATAATTTAAATCATCTGGAAACACGGGGTTCGGTAGTTTGGATATATGTTACACATGTCGTCCCAATACCTTTACTGTTCATTGTTTGCTAACCCTGGGACTGGATAGAAGAAGCGGAGGGATGGTCCATGGGATGAAGGATAATTGTATCGAATGAGCATCTGTTGGTGAGTTACCGCTCCGTAGGTAGGGTCCGAGAGACCACACAAAGCACTGGAGCTTGAGACGTTGTCAGATATAGCTGAGAATCAATACCAGTGCTGGTCATGTTGTGACTTCCATCCGTCTTCTGCTGCTGGATAGTAATGGATATTTTGTTTTGAATGTATCTTACTGAACTGCCTTTCTTATCATTCTGTTCTTATTGTGTTTTTCTTTTTCATCTAACCACTTCCCTTCACTTTATATCTTCATAATATTGTTAAATTATTTTGTGTAGCGCAATTCTTCGTGTTCTTGCTGCACCATGTTTGTAATCTAATAATAATAAACCTAGTTCACGTTTAACCACATCAAAATAGTTTCTTCTCAGTGGGAACATTCTCTATTTCTACGATTTCCTTTAGGACCCTATTACTAATCATATTATTAATAAGCTTGAATTACCCTCAATACATAATAATAATGATAATAATGAATCAATCGATTTACGCCTTAGGTTTGCACCAACCGTCAGAACACATCATGACCTGTCTAGATACAACTTAATATACTACGGAGACAAAAACATAAAATTTGCTTAGAGTTATTTAACCTGAAATGCAAGTTATTTGCTTGACATACTTCGCACAAAAATATCTTTGATATATTTTTTTGTGCGCGTAGGTCAGATCCTTATGACTTTTTATCGTTTCTGCTACAATGGACCATTTTAACTCAGAATTGATAAATCAATACACCGTAGAATCTGGCATAGAAATTGCAAACAACAAATAGTCAGAAAAAGACTGATATCCAAGTAGAAAAAAGTAAAAGGTTTCTATTATTCATACTAAGAAAATAAAATTCAACTATGTTAGCGTCTATAAAATATATATCACGTTTTTTGGTTTCTACACTAACAACGTATTGTTGGATTGAGGATAAATTTATAATACTAAGCATGTTTTGCGTTGCATTTGAAGAATGCCAAACATAGAGGTAGATTGTATTTTATGTTTAATAGTAATCAGATTGTACTGCATAACAGTCAAACATACTTTTTGTAAGCTGTAAGTGATATGCTAGGGCTAATCCTCCCTAACCGATAACTGCTACCTTAAAGTGATGGATGAGCTGGCATGTCACCGTCCAGGTAGGATGGTTCTTCTCTTGATGTCCTACTGTACTAGAAAGGTCAGTCGGATAGTGGCAAGGCTAAACGCTGTTGGCGTTATAGTGTAGATTTCTACACTATGATGGAATTCTGAAGGAGAAGTAGTATTTCTGACTGGACAGGTTTATGACAGCAGTAAAATGTTTCTTGCGAGTGACCAATAATTATACTATGCTGATATTGCCTTCCAATGGGGTGAAAGGATTTAGGAAAGGTCTCTCTCCCCTTCCAAAAAACAATACACTCCCTTCTATCCTGGAAAATAGGTTTATAGATGGATTCTATAGAAATGAAACCCTTTGTTTTAGGTACCCCAAGAAGGGTTGATGACAGCACTGGTATTCTAGCCAAAGTATGCTTAGTTGTTGGTTTGAATCTGTTACCCAGTTGTCGGGAGTCGAATGTATTCACATCAAAGGCATTAACGGTTTTACCTTAAACACTACTTAAAGACATGAGATTATTGTAGAACAATAGTAATTTGTGTTCACTAATGAAGTAAGTCTGTTTTCGTAAGATGCTTCATTTCATTCAAAGTGGCTTTCGATATCAACTTTCAGGCTGTTTGAATATATATATATATATATATGCGTGTTCTCGTAACACATGAAATATATTCATAACTGAATTCTTTAAATTGTAAACAGATTTGAATTCCTTAGACTAGCAACAACATGCATTTTGAGTAACACGTGGTTTTTTTTTATTGAAATCCGTAATTGTTGGTTGTTATTTTGCAGTTCCTTTCATTTAAGTACATAGAGTGTAAGTGGATGTTTTGTGCCTTAACCTAAAAAGAGAGTAGGATTTTATGTTTCACTGATCCTAGCAGTTATTATTATCATTACTAGAACACAAATGTAGTACAGCCAGGGCACCAAGAAATGCGCAACACAAAATAAGGTAACAACATTATGAAGATATAAAGCGAAGAGAGGCGAGTAAAAATAAAACACAATGAGAAAACAATAATTAGAAAGGCAATCCAGTAAGATACACTCAAAGCAAAACACTCATTACTTTTCAGCGGCAGCAGTAAATAGAAGGAAGCTACAACATGATCGCCACTGGTTTTGATTCCGATCCACATGTGATAACGTCTCAAGCCCCATTGGGTTGTGTGATCTTTCGGACCCCACCTAAGGAGTTGTGATGCACCAACTGATGCTAACTGGATACAACTAACCTTAATCCTACGTATTATACTGGCTACCCTTCCGCTTCTTCCATCCAGTCCTAAGGTTAGCAAAGCAATTGACTTTCAATTGATAAGTCTTAGGTTCGAAACTTTCTTCATCCATTAAGGTAGTTTCATCATCATCAGTAGTAACGCAATAAGCAATTAGCTG